TCTTATCGCACACGAGTTTAGGGCCTGCTTCCGTGCCACAGACAGCGTTAAGCCGAGCTATAAAATGCTTGTCCTCTTGCCCTCAGGGTTTGTTTGGTATGTGGCCGGAACTGGCGACATTCGTCACTCGCTCAGTCAGGGGTAGCTATGTAGCATTTGCGGGATATGCTGTAAGCCGAACGAAGTGACACTTAATGTGTACAGAAAGAATACTTGGGCAAAATGCATTTCAAAACAATAATAAGGTTCATTACAGTGTTCGCAAGGAGTCCAACACCGGTCCTTATTCTGAGCGAGATGAATACTTTCTACATCATCCAACCCATTTCCCTTATCAATCCATCTACACACAGGTCTTCCGAGTGGTCTCTTACCTTCAGACTTTGCAATCAAAATATTATACGAGGTATGCATTCATCATCCCCCCCCCATGCGCGCTACATGCCCTGCTCATCTCACCCTAACTGATTGGTTCACTCTAATAACGCACACATCGAATAATATTTCCTGAGTATTAGTGGAATCCCCTCTTAAATTTGTGCTAATTACAAAAAGTGATTTAGAAGAAAGCATTTGCACTCGTTTTCACCGCTGTAAAATATGCCCAAAACATTTTACTGTTTGTTTCTGCACGTAAAATATTTTTGTGCATCCACTGTAAGAACTGTAATTCTGTACAAAAGGAAGCAATTATTTCAGATTGAGCTTTACAGGATCCTATGAACGTAAAAATGTAATGTAATATATTTTGGAGTTATCCTATGTTAAGGGTATTAAATATAATATTCTTTTCTGGAATCACATCTGAAAATAAACGAATCTGTCATGTATTCTTTTTAAAAACTCGCAGTTTAGAAGGCATACTTGTGAATATATTCAGTATCTGATGGTATACACAGGAAAAGTAATCTGCTAGCCATAATATTGTTATCTGCATAAATATTTCCCCGACGTGTAAAGTTTATTGTACATATTTTAAGGATAATATAGTTAAATGCTACAACTACAATAGTTATGTTATATATTTTATAGAACAGCCTATAGAAGAAATACATTCTTGTTTTTATCTGTGTCACCACTTTATTTGCTACTCTTCGGAAGTCGGCAGTTCTGAGACCACTCGATTTTACCAACATCTGTTGTATATTTTCTCTTGGAATTTGCCCGTTAGGAACTCCGAAATGCTTAACGATGTTTAAAAATGAATACAATACCTTTTATTTTTATTTGTAATGTTCCAGGTATCCTATGCATGACATTTTACACGGTTATAGACATACCATGTCTGATAGTTTTCAGAGGCGGGACTGACGGGACATTTATTGTTGTTATTATTATCATTATAATCATCATCCTGGTCTCGGTCACTTACGCTGTTCTCTGGGGATTGGACGACCTCCGTTCGATACCCTTCAAGGGCAGTGATGTCTCTCTTCGCTGACAAGTCCGAACTGGGAGTCCAACCCAGCCTCCTTTCCGAAGGACATCATCGGCTTTCCCCTTCGATGTTGGGGCAAAGAGGAAGGAACGCTTTTCTCATTGTGCAAAAGTTGTAGAATGCATGGAGCTTTACCTCTCCGTTTTCTATATATCTTGTTTAGGCAGAATGGTCTCCATAACATTACCGGGTAGTTTGCGACCCCTGGGAGTGTCTTGTCAGTAGGTGGTGTCTACCTGCGAGTAGCAGAAGATAGGACACATAAAAGTTCGTCCCCTCAAACTTTACAAATACATGAGGGCTAAAGTGATATGTCTGAAGGTGTAATATTCACCATTTGCAACTTGTATCACCCGAAACAGGTAGCAGAGAACATATTTCAAGTATCAGTTCTCTGTTCGTGGCTTTATTACATTTAATTTTTGAAAATTTCTGTGATATCCAGACCCGTAAAATCAACGGAAACTTTTAGTCGAAGTATGACATAGGCCAGAACTGAAGAACGTAACGCTTTGAGAAACTGATAGTTTTATTAAGTTATTTCTAAATTTGAGTTTCAGTAATTTTCATAGTGAAATCCCTTTTCAGCACAGCATGATATTTTCTTAGGATGATGTTAGAGGTCTCCACTTAAGGAGGATAGCTGTAGCTGCAGATATAGTGAATACGTAGTCCCGGACAGCCTACAAGGGGCTGTCCTCACGCTTGGAGATTGGGCAGGGTAGTAAATATTCCCACCGTGAGAAGTTCAGCATTTTGTGGACTGAACCAGTGGTCACATATCGGGAAGAGCATGGAGTTTTCTCTTCGCCATTGTTTCCCACATTCTCGAAACATTCTATCCAAGGAACATCTGAACACGAAGCCGACCACTCAGCTACGTCTGAAGTCGAAGTTCATGGAGCTGTACCACACTCCTCCAATACTCTACCGTGACAGGTGCAATATTACTTTTGTTTACAGTAATATTGATAACAGTACATCCGTTTCAGCCGAGATTTGAAGTTGAGTGACCAGATTTTAACTGAAAAAGGAAGGTCAACTTTTTGTGGTAATAGCTGGATTGCGTTATTACCTGTAGATGTAGAGGGGGAGGGGGGCAGCGGGAGACCATTTCTGATTAATTTTCTGATGAACCTTAGGGCAGAAGTAAATTTCCTTGCCTGAGGATACGTATGACTCATCCCTTGTCACAGTCCTCATACTTATCCAGTAATCAAGGCTGAAACAGCAGGTTTAAGTAATCTAAACTCCTGTTGTAACCCCCAGGACCGTATGTAGCGTAACACTTAATCGCCACGACTTTTTAAATTGAATTTAGTCTCCACCCATTTAACAATATGTAGTTTACAAAGTGTGATAATAGGGAGATATTGTTCAGCACTGTTTTTGTTACGTCATAAGCTGGTGTTCATTTTTCTTTAATCGGACGCTGCCTCGATTTAAGATGGTTTAATCGCAGTATTTTAACAATATCAACAATAAGAAATGTTCTCAATATCTTAAACATTTGCGGCATGAAAAGTGCAAAGTGTAGTTGAGCACGTTTGTGATCCGCTTAAAATCTCATCTCTGTGTAGTTGAACATACCTAGTTCCAGAGGAAATTTATGCCGTCGAAACCGGAAGTTTTATATGAATATTTACAATCGATATAATACCGCACCAACAGAAGCAGCATTTTCCCTGAAGATGTCACCATACAAAATTACAGGACTCTACATGAGCGGCACTAGTTTCATTCCAAAACCAGTTTTATGAACTGCCGCCATATTGGCATTGTTGATGTCAGAAAGTTAAAGTGTTCAAAGGTTGGGCGATCTCTGGCACCATGTTCGTATCAGATTTCATGGAATTCCGTCACTTGGTGCTAAAGCTACCGGAGCGACGAACACACTGACATCATGATTCTTAGATTGCCTTTCCTTGTAAAGAAAGGAAAAGACTATATACAAATCACTATTGGTCCGACTGTAGGCAATTAAATCTCCAAGCCACTGGTATTTTGACAACTCCTAGGCCCGTTAATAAGGTAGTGGCGTTTAAATTCAATTTCCAACTACCTTTGCCGAAGGTAGCTGTAGAACTGTTCATTGTTAAAACAAAGCAAAATATGTAACCAGTGGAACGTGAGCACAAGCCAGTAACACTGCCAGGCACGAAGACGGGTTTAGTTTGCCAACTAGATTGCTTTCATATCTCTTGCGGCGGCAGCCATCTTGTATCCACGTGCCCACGTTCTGATACTCGTTTGTTGTCAGCGCAATAAAGCGTTTCATAGACCTAGTTGTCGTGTGCTTTACACGCCGCCACTCCCCTGGAACTCAACTCCACCCATGAGGCGATTGACAACAAACAGTTGACAACTGGAATCTCATTTAGTTTTCTTTTCTTACTAATCTTTGTCCGCCATTCTGTCCATTGTTTTAAAGATTTCAAGTTTCTTTCCCATGCTGAACGTCTAGTTTTCAGCGTTGCCAATTTCTGACCAGGTGCTTTGTCTACATTAAGGATTTCAGGACAAATTTAATTCCTGGAACAACCAGAAAGATGGTACGGAAACTGAGAATCTGCAACCACGCGAAGCCCACGTAACTCTCTTAGGTAACATTTAATTAAATTGATTAGTAAGTGAATATACAGCTCAGTAGAAAATTTTGTTACACTAATTTCCTTTTCGAGATAGTCAGACTTACGACATCCGGTCCTAATTTGTGCGTGTCTTTCCTCACTAATATTTTTGTGATGTATTTTCATGAAATTTTGTTTTGTGTCATACAAATGGTTTACCTTTCTTCCATACTTCTTACTACTATTAATGCTGACATAACAGCTGACGTTAACAACACCATCACAATTTAATACAAGCCAAGTATCTTCAAATATAAGATTAGTTCACCAGGAAAAAGGAATTAAAATATACGAGCTTCTTCTGTGTGAGTAGTGGCTCACATGGCGTGTATTGGGACAGCTTTACTTTTATATAGGCCTGTGTTGTACATCTGTACTATACTTATGCCACACCGGAGTACTGGAGTGTTTATTTTACGTGATTACAGATCTTCAGATGTGACTAAATTACCCACCGCTCTATAATGTCCATTTGTTTCCTATATACAGACTGACTTTTGGACTATTGAAGCCTGAACGGGTCTACAAGTGGCTATACCTCTCAGTTGCTATAAGAACGTAGGCTGTGAAACAATGAGGTTATCTGATGTGGAATTAGAGTAATTGCTGGTATGAAAACCGAAATTACAACAGATTGTGTAATTTAGACGTTGCTTGTGCTTCGTGGACCTGCGGTCACCCAGCTGGCAAAGCAAGATAGTTATGTTTATTAATTTTATCAGATTAAATATTGGAGCTCCTTATAGCGCATCAGTAGTAATGTTTTGACTTTTTCTCTCCTATCTAAAACCCAAGATTAACACAATAGACTACATGTTATGCATTCTCTGAAGGAACAGAACAAAATGAACGCGTTGTGTCGTGTCTGCCTGTCCGCATGGTTCATCTCAGAAACTAGTCGATGGAGGTTTCTGTTACCTTTTTATTGTGGATTTACAGTGTACTTTGTCGAGCGAATTCAATATCAGTTCGAATCTGTAGACTATAGTGAAAACCTGCCTTATATGAATTTGAAATGGTATTGTGTCGGTTTCTTCAAAAACACTTCATCTTCCAGAAACTTAGTACATGATGTAAAATACAGATGTCGTGTAGAACTGCATCTGGAATAATTGTTTACATGCAGAATAACAGAATAAAAGGAAATCTAATTTTTCACCCTATGCAGCGTGCACATGCAGTAATAAATAAGCCGTAACATAACGACATTATCTGTTTTGATAATGGATCCAAGATTTTGGGATCGATATTGTAAGACGTATGAGTAGAAAATGAACCCCATTAATATTGATAATTGAAGCAGATTTTGAAATGGTACTGGAATTAATGTTGTTTAATAAATATATAATGCTCATTTGTTTTGTGTAGCTATATTTATAGTTTAGCATCATAAACTATGTATCAATCCGTGTATCTAATTTAAAATAAAAATGCAATTCAGTCGTAGAAAGATCTTTACGAGAGAATATCATGTTTGGAATACGAAATTAGACGAAATGGTCGATGTATAGAAATGGGATTTTCCAACATATGTCAGACCCTGACATTTCCTCTTAAGTTTAAATTAATGAAATATGGCGAAAACTAGAACATTGCTCGTCAAGAGTGACGGAAAAAACCGAAATAGTACCTGAAAACACATTTGTTAAAAGTATAACATAAAAAGTAACAAAACCTCAACAGGTAAACATCTGTTTTGCTGCGTTGTACAGAAATACATGGGAATATCAGGACATGGATGACCTAACAATATTGTACTGTTGCATTGTTTCCACAAATTAGCATATAAAAATTATACTTCCGTTAACATCATTACCATGGCAACGGTTATAATATTATCCATGAATCTCAAAATATCTTAACAGCAAATACCAACATACAATGGCAACTGTTGTAACAACACATATTCATCAGTATTTCCGCATAAGAGCCAAACTCCTTTAGTAGTAGCAAATTATTATTATACAGACAGCCGTACAGAGAACTCACGAAGTGTCGTGGCTGTCATGATTGTAACAGAGGCGACATTTTCTACGACATCGTTACGGGTATTTAGTTAGTCGGATTGATTCCTCTCTCGTTTCTCATAGTCTGTTATTCGCTAGCACCAAGCGACCTGGGAGTACATCAACAAAACACGTAAGATAATGACGATAACAATATATATATATATATTGGTCTTGAAGTCATATAACCTGTAATCTTATATTACCTCATTGCTAACTATGACCTGTTGATTGTCGTAATAGTAAATGCTAATTGTATAAGAGAGTGTCCTTAAACGATTTCTTTATTATGAAATGTGCTGAACGACTTTTGTGTTTGCCTTTATCAATAAGTCAAGTCGTTATTTCTTACGTATCATACTTCTGTAATTAAGATCTGTAAAAACTACAATTCAAGTAAGTTGGGCATAGTGTGAATCTTTTAAGAAAACTGCGTATCTTATTAAAATTGACTATCAGTAATATATATTTCAGTATTGGTTCGGAACTGGGGAAGTTATTTTAAGTATACAGAAAAATTATTAAGACTGGGGTACAGAATACAATTGAGAGAGACATAGTTATTTGAAGAAATTAGTTAGCAAAGCTATTTTAATAAAACGTTTTTAGTCATCTGTTTCTTTTTGGAGAATTGAATGTGGATTTATGTGTTCAATTAATTGGACTTCCAAAATTTTAGTAATTCTTATCAAGTCGTTATATCCATCCATTTTACAAATAATATTCTTCCTCACTACATACAGTTCGAAGAGGAATCTTTCCATTGGCGGGCGACTTCTTTCACAGCTGGATGAGTGTAATAAACAGTGGAACATCGGTCGGGTATACTCATTTATCCCGTGACATCAGTTCCGTTAGAAGCAATAATGCACCTAAGAGTACCTAAGAATAAAAACATTTCCTTCGCAAGAATATATTAAACTGATATGTTGAGACAAAACATTTGAATGTCTGGCACGAGCAGTAGTAACGCAGATCCCTTGGGGGGTCAAACAGAGAGTTTTTAATAAATAAAAAATCGG